TCATGCTCTACGTACTTTTGATACATGAATTTCATTGTTTAAAGTTTCTTTTTTCCCCTAAGATGACTTCAGATTACTTTTAAAATAATTTTATGTAACACTAATAATATAAAAAGTGAGCACTGCTTTTTATAGTGGTTCATGTGTGAAAGAGGTTTTCTCTGGAAATGTTTTGTTTATATTTATTTGACCACAGCAGTGTGTTTAAAAGTAGGTGACACTCATGGGTAGCTGTTCCTCCTTGGCTTATTCTAAATCATTGGAATTTGCTTTTGGTGAAAAAGGTTTATATGGGTTACAGTTGTGCTTTGCTTTTGTTGCTTAGCTAAAAGAAAGCTTTAAAGCTTTGTTTTTGTTGTTTAGCTTTAAATGATTCAGCCTATAGATACCTGCCAGTTTAACTCCTTAAAAGCAAAAGTGTACTATGAGTGTATTACTTTTGTTGAGCTCAGGTACTGAGTAAGAGGGGATGAAAACCTTGCTTCCTGAACAGCATTCCAAAGATGAAAATATTGTTTCCAAGTTTTTTGATGTGCTTTTTACAGATGATATACCTGCAAATTTGAAATTTGCGGCTAATATTAAGCCTTATATTTTACCTGTTGGCAGGTAGTTGGACCAAATCAAATGCTGTGGAATTTTCTTGAATAGCTTGTAGTAGGAAAGTTTTTTTGCTTCTTAGCAGTAAACTTCTGGCTTATTAATCATAAAAGTCAAAACTTGGCCATGCATAACAACAAATCATCCATTGATTCAATAAGGGCATCTTGTGTCTCTTAGAATGTTGTAATCTGATAAACAATTTGTAATTAAGTAAAAATGAAATCTGACCTTTCTCCTTGAGAAGAAATAACACTAACTATGTGAAGAAAAGATTTATGATTCAAATGAGTCTAAATAAAATTTAAGGGAAAGGAACTATGCTTCTTTGGGGGACTATCATCTTTTCTCCTTGTCAGCACAGATTTAACAAAATATCAGATGCATCACAACACAGGAATTTCAATTATGTATTCAGATGAGATTGCAATGTGACATGCTGCTTGCAGAGTAGATACTTGGTGCAATCCATCATTTATTAGAGTGCTGCCAGTGTAATGCTGAGATTTCAGAGTGGAGTACAGGACCCTGGACCGAGATGCAACAATAAATAAGAGATTGCACTGACAAAGTCAGTATTTTTACTTCCTCAAAACAACAACAACAAAAATGAATTGTAACTTAGGGTAACTATCCTCAGTGTCTGTCCAGGTGAGTAACAGCAACATACAAACAGAAATGCTCTCGCAGCATTCACTGGGGCTTGAAATTTTTTCCAGGGCACTCACATCAGTATGATAACTAATGAAGAACTATTTTCTTGCACGTCCACCAGGAGGATAATTATAAGCCAGATAAGGAAACTCTTATCCCTTCTTCTTTATGACTAAAAGCCTCTCAGAATCTTTTGGTAAATCTACAAGAAAAAGTACATTGCATGTAACTTAAAATTACATCTCCAAAGAAATGAATTAAAAGGGCCATTGCCAATGATATGATTGTATTTTTTGTTCCATTATTCCTTTATTACTCTTTCCTTCTTGCCATTGTTTCACCTGTCTCCTCTAACTACCCCTGCAGTTGAATCATCCACTCCGTGATGAAAACCAGCGACACTGTTATCTACTTCTAGACTTTCCTGGAGAATTCCTTTCTCCTTGGATATAAACCAGGTTCAGATCTTTGAATCAAGTCAGGCAGAGAACAAGCCCTCTGGTTCATGTGAATTCACAGTAATACCTGTGCACTGGGTGTTACATGTGAGGCTTTCTTGACATGGTGGAACAGAACATGTGAGAGAGGAGAAAGTTGCAAGCAAGTCAGACTCACAGACATCTTAGAGGTATGGAATACTGACAGTTTGAATTGATTTGTCAAATAGGTTCTAGTCTCCCACATAAAGGAGGTACCCGTGGTATTAGTCATTGAGTGATTTAGTAAGTCAATGAAATAAGCACCAGTCTAGCAATCTGTCTAATTTATAGTCAGAAAGGCTATCTCTACCAAACTCATTAATAAAGTAAGATAAATGGTAGGAAATTGATAGAAACAGGTGATTGCTCTTTCGTCTCAATTTTTTTCCTCTACCAACACTCATCCTATGTCCTTGGGTTTTTCTAATGCATGATGTGAAATGCAGTTATATAACTAAATAATAGTAACAGTGATTTATTGCTTGTTGTTTGGAGGGTACTATTCTAAGTACTATAATACCTTATTTCATTTAGTGAAGAACATGAATTATCATTTAGGTATTATCATATCTATATTACAGATGGAGTTATAGCTCGGCAAGTGTAAGGAAATGGTCTAAAGACCTATAGGCGGGAGGGACTCCTAAGCCAAGACTAACCAAGAACCCATGCGATTAATCACTAAATCACATTCATTTTTTTTTAAAGCCAGTTATTTTGTTTCTCTGCTTCAGATTACTTATGTATGTCTGTACTTTAGTTCTATGGAGTGATTAATTTAGCCCCTACTTTGATGATGACGCTGGACCAGTTGGGTAAGATTATATGTGAGATACAGACTGCCAGGAACATTGTTAGAGGGCAAAGACTGATGGCAAAATGTCCATGTTTCCATGACATTGTTTAGACAATTGTTTCATTTTAAAGACAACAAGTTACTGGGTGGCCCATCCACTCCTTTTTCCAGGAATCTTTCCCAGCCACAAACTTTACATTTTAAACCTAGTGACCTAAGCTCAACCACGATGCACAGTCTAGTCATGGGAAGTGATAAGATGTCAGAGAACAGAGCCTCCCTAGTAACCTAGGGGTTAAGTCTCAGAACATCTGTTTGATCCCCAGCCAAGGAGCAAACCCACAAATGGCACAGCAGACCTCTCTTGTCTCACCTGCTGCTCCCCTCAGCACGGCATTTCTGTAAATTTGTTCTCTACTCTGACTCTGGTGATACCTCTCACCCCCACACCTCTAGATACACCACAGTTCCTACATGCAGAAATAAATTAAATCTTTTTTTTTTAAAAAAGATATCAGAGAACAGTAGCTATAGCAAGGACAATCCAAGGGGACAGATTCTCTCTCTCTCTCTCTCTCTCTCTCTCTCACACACACACACACACACACACACACACACACACACACACACACACATTATTGCTAAAGACAGACATGTGAAAAATAATATATCCAGAAAAGGGACTGAAGTTGTATCAGGATGTAGAAGAAAATAATGAAAAAGCTTTATTAATTTATGAAGTGACAGTTGAATTAAAGATGCTTGCAAACACCTTCCCTTCTAATTATATCTCTAGTTATACTGCAGAATCTTACACTGACATCTGGTAAAATATTCAGGTTTTTCCAGATGTGCATTCCTTTTGGCCACAATGATATGGTGCTTAGCCTCAGTACAAGGGATAAACCAGCATTAGTGCTCTATAGACGGACGCATTATTTTTTTTTTAGAAGGTAGCTGTTTCCTTCTAGAAAGTTTCCTCTTGAAACTTGGCAAGACATCTTCTCTTTTCCTGTGTTGGCTCAGTCTGTTCTATACATTGGTTTGGCAACATATATCGAGTTCAACCTTATGACTTGGACAGAAAAGTATAGCTTGGATTTGTTGCACATTGGTATGATTTATAAAACATAGACCAGATGAACTCAGAAAGCCCCCTAGGTGTGTAAATAATAGTAAATAGAGGGATTTGCAAAGTAGAGTCTAAAGTTCTGCAATAGTCAGCTACATCTATTTTATTATTTAAATAAAAAAAAACTGTCAAAACATAGGAGCAACATGGAATGTTCATTTTTCTAATGGCTAAAACTCAAATATGAAAACCAGGTGCTGTGATCCTCTGAGTCCAGGAAATGGATACCTCTGTAATTAGCTCTCTGTTCTTTAATATGTGCTACCTTATTTACATTTAACTTTTCAAAGGATGAAACTGTAGCACTACTTCTTCCTTGTATATCCAATATAGTCAATAATAAGAATGATCATATCATAATTGAAAATTTATCATAATCATAATTGAAAATTTATTTCACATATATGTGTTCTCATTTGATTCTCCCCAAAGTCTTGTTAAGTGCAGTGATTGGAGAGGAAACAAAGACATTGAAGTGAGGAGAACCAGGGAAGTGGCCCAGAGATCTGGTGATACAACTTTCAGCCAGAGCTCTCTCCCCACCCTCTCCTCTTTATGACTGTTTTGCTACTGAAATATCTTTATGTTCTATTTGTATAGGTTAAAAAACCTGGAAGACCTAGACTTAGATAAATAGAATCCTTAGCCTTCAGTTGAGTCGAATGGAATGTGTATTAACTTTACTTCGGACTGATGCAATATTTTGACAAAAGTGGGAAATCTAGCAAGTAGAAAATAAAGCTTGATGATTTTGCGAAAAGCTACTAAAGAAGAGAATGGCTCTAGGTCATTAAAATACACAGCTAACCACCTTGCTATTTATCTATAGAACACTAACTATTAGTAGGCCGCTGCTTATATCATAAATGCATTGCCTTATGTCAACAGAGCTATGATACTCAAAATTATCACAAACCACACCAAAATGAATCTGAAACAAAGCAAATCACAAGAAGGAAAACAGAAAGGCTCCTTTTATAACAAATTGAATTTTCCAGAATTCTAATTGTCCAGAGTTCTGAGTTCCTGCATGATGTAGAAATTCTGTATTCATAACAAGTGGTAGATACCAACTTGGGAACTTGACTGCTATTTCTTCCACTAAAGTTTGTGCTTTCTCACTCTCTCTCCTCTCTAGCTGTACTTCTAGTTCTAGCTCTATCTTTATCTACTGTACATGCTTTTGTAGAATTTCAGGAGCAGCTTGTTATCTGGAAAATATGGCTGCCTGAAAGAGGTACGGAATATAACAACGCTATACCCCAAAGCTTCTATGCATTACAAAAGCTTGCACTTGGATAATAGAAATATTGAGCCTCAGGTGACTGAGAACACTTACTGTTGGTTGCATAACGTATGGCGGATGAGGCATCCAGGAAGTGCTCTGGACCTATGCATCAAACAGCATTTATTAGCACAAAGCAATCACACAGAGAACTTGGTTCTTGCGTTCAGTGGAGTCGCACTAGGTCATAAGAAAGTGGAGTCCATCTGACTTTACAGCTAATTAGTGCTCAAAATTAGAGCTGGAAAGGGAATTTTGGACCTGGTTAATTTGGTCCCCAAACATGTTAAAATGTAAAGTAACTTTCTACTTCACTGAAGCTGGCTGTAGTCTACGTGGCCAGTGCTGAGCCTTGGAGCACATTTTGAGGCTGATGTTGGTGACTAAAGTCTCAGGAGGCCTCAGAAATCTCTTAGTTAGAAACTGACTCCCAGGGATATTCAGGCAAGTAATGGAGTCAGGTTGACTGCTAAGTCTTTTCTGTCTTTGGTTCTCAAGTGATCCCATCTTGGAAATCAGTGCAAGTGGAAAAAGTTGGGGCTAGAATTAAAGAGATCAAAAAGAAATTTTGGAGAACACTTGGGTTAAACCCAAGTTAAGCAAGTTTGTAAGTTTATTCTCTCCTGGTAATTGGTATGGCAAATAAAAATGAGTAATTGAGCCAACCGAGTGTTATAAAATGTGCCTTCTGTCAGCCCAATGGGAAAGTCAGCTTGTAAGAACAGACTGTCACATAGAGAACCTTGAAGATTGTGTTTTCAATATATCCTCTCCCATGAAATTGCCAATGCACATTAGATTAAAAAAACAAAAGTTGTGAAAGGCGAGACTCAACAACATAGGAAATTGTTCTAATTCATTTTTTTTAGAGGGTATTGGAGTTAAATTACACTTACGAGCCCTCCCAAGTGAAATCACTTTTCTGTGGCTATTTTACTCATGTCACCAAAGTGCAGTACACTGGGGCTCAATGGGTGGTCTTGGCGGAAACATAGACTGAAATTAGAAAAAAATTGAGGGCAAAAAACCCCAAAACACACATTATAACCAGGCAGGTCTGCAGAAGGAATGAAAACTGAACAGCACCTGCACATAGCGTCATGGGTCCCAAGGAAAGGTAATTAAGAGATCAGCCATTCTGAGACCTTCTAATGCAACTCATACCTGTCTATTCCACTCACACACCAATATATATCAAGAATCTGAGTGCAGAAAAAGAATGAAAATGGTTTGCTTTTAGGGGGAGTCAATTAAGAAAAAATCCACAGTCTCAAGTTTAATGCTATGACAGCTACGACATCCTGAAATGAAGTATGCGGTGGTGAAATAGGTGAAACTTCACTGAATGAGTAGCCATCAGCAACATTACTATTTTATCCATTGTAGAACATCCACCCCCACTAGCCGAAGAATATAGAGGAACTCACACACACACTGACATTCTCTCTCGCTCTCACTTTATCTCTTCAAAGTTTAAAATGATGAGACTAGCCACACTAAGTAGTTAGGGGCACTTTCTAATTAATTAGAATATTTGTCAGAAGTCAATGCAAGGCAAAGGTAAAGAGAAGCAGGGAGTCATACCACACATTTGATGACTCAGAGCCATAAGAGATGGAATATTTTCTGAGCGAGAAGTATGACTATTTCAATCCACCTGTGTACTTAGGATTTACTGGCCACAATCACTGGTTTAGGATACACATGGAGTCTCAGGTTTTCTTGAGTTTCAATATGTGGGACCTTGCGGTCTCTTTCAGCCTCTTTGGAACGGAGGATGAAGTAAGAGTAGGAAGGAGGAACACATTTGTACCACTTTGACATTCTTCCCCATTTCTTGGGAGAAATGAATTAATCTATCCATGCAGTTTTCCATGGATACACAGGACAACAGTGACAAAATGAGGTGACAATGATAAGGTATCTTGGAATGAGTGAAGGGATGCTAGAAACGTGTTTCTGGGGAAAAAGAACAATAGGGAATATGACAACCAAAACAGACAACAAATAAAATCATGCCTCAGTGGTAAGAAAACTGGGCTAATATTGGCTGGAAAAGTTGCATGATCATGAAAACTCAGCAGAATGAAAAGCATGGTGAGTTTTGTTATTCAGTAAAATAGATGCAAACACGTCCTTGCAAGTGTAGGCTAATTGATCATTTGAGTACTATGGATTAAGATGAAACTAAAGTTAAGAGGACAGCTTAAAAAAATCATCTGTGTCTCTTTTTGTTTTTATCGAGTCTACTAGTGGCAAGAAAGTGCTCTCCTGAGGTTCAGGTAAATCGGACATACCTGGTATGTGGAGACAGGGGAAGCAGCAATGAATGGCGTGATAGATGTCTGTGGAATCATGCGGTTGGTTGCAATACTGTACGGTGAAGAATAAAATCTGCAAACAGAAAACAAAAAAAGAAGATTCATGAAGCTGTTGGATGCCTGGACGCTAATCAAATGCTCCCAAGCATCACTGGGAAACACAGAGTTCCCCCTTCCTGTTTTTTCATCAACTGTTAAGAGGAACATTCAGGAGATTTATAGTATTTGATTCCACTAAGAGAAATAAATTGTTCTGAACAAAATGACAGCTTTGAGTCATCGGACAAAATTGGCTGCACAAAATTTCTTTTATGCCAGGTGAGTGTGGTAGAATGTTCAACCAACAGGGGGAGAAAAACTACCGGTCTTGTATTTTTAGATCTCTTTTCAGGAAAGGCAACAGGATTGCATTAAGCTATATAAAGGTAGCGGCACATAAACAAACTGCATTTATTTCTTCATTCAGAAAATAGGGTCAGTTTCTAGCGAGTTCTATATAATTTCTATTACACATGGTTCCATGCCCTTTTGTAAAAACTAAGCTAAATATTTTCTACATGAAGAGAAAAGAAATCATACAATTTGTGCATAGCTGGAAATAGGAGCGTTTTCTGCATTCAATCAAGACATTGGTGGAAATTCTGAACCTGGATGACAGATTCTTGTAGACTCCAAAAACATGAAATTTTCCAGTCCTACATGCGCTTTCATTAAATAGTTATAGAATATACTGGCAAGCTGTGGGCAAGACCAGAGTTTCATGATTCAGAAGAATGATCCTTCTGGAAATCTATTAGTTTCTAGGCACTGAAACAGTGGCACACCCATCTCTATGCAAATTAGTACCTTGGAGTCTACCAATTCCTTGGTAGTCAAATTATTCAGGGCACTTTTAAGTTAAGTTTCTTTCCGGACAATCACAGAACCAACAAAATAGGTGACCTGCAGTGGCCTATGTCACTGACTGAGGATGGATTAAAAAATAAATAAATAAACTAAAGCAGGAATAATGCAGCCGTTATACTTTGCAGTATTCTTAGCAAAGGTCAATTCCTAATTTGAATTAAAAAAGGTGTAATTTTAGCTTAAAAAATAATATACTGGGGTTGTAGTTTGGAGGACAGAAATTTTCATTATCTCTTATGGGTTATTGATATTTTTAAATAGAGAATTTCATTCCTTATCTTACTAAAGAAGCATTCCATAAGATTTCCACTATACAAGGATTGAATTTCAAAGTCTCCAGGATTAAAAGAGTAAATTCTTTATCTTAGCTTCTATAAAAGCCGTTAAGATAGGATCAGGAAATGATAGTCTCTAGTGGTTTTAGCTCTCATGCTGTAAGATTGTGCTCTATTAGTCCAAAAAATGGTAAGTGAAAAAAATTATTACATATCACATCATTATCATCCATGCATGTCTCTAAATTTATAATTGTACAATCTTTTAAAAAATCATTGATTACACTCTGATTAGCATGGAAAGATTTTTTTTTTTAAATGAAAATATTAGTGCTGGTCAGGCTTTTGAAAAAGTAGAACTATCATTCATTGTTGATGAAAATGCAGAAAGTTACAGCTAATTTGGTAAACAACCTGGCAGTTTCTTATAAAGTCAAACACACATATCCTAGCTGATCCAATGGTTTCTCTGATAGATATAAATGGAGATAAGTTAATGTTGACACAAAAACTTTAATACATTGTTTATAGATACATGCCTCAAACTGGAAACAAGGCGAATACTCTGGCTAAATTGATAAACCAACTGAAGGATGCCTGTACACTGACAAACTGCTTAATAAGAAGGGAAGGGCCGATACGTTGATATGATGAGTTTTAAGAGAATTATGCTAAATGAAAGAAGTCAGATTCCAAACACTACTCGCTTTGTAATTCCATTCATATGACACATGGAAAAGGCAAACCTATGAACAGAAAATAGAATAATGTGAGCCAAAGGCTTGTGGGTGGGCTACAGGGTGACTGCAGAGAGACATGAAGGAATTTGGGGAAGTGATACAACTGGTTTATAGCTTGATGGTTTCCCTGGTTCCATGAGTGAGCTTTCAAGACCCTGAGCAGAGTAACTATACATTTCATGTAAATTATTCCTAGTAAACCTGAGTCTTGGCAAGTCAGTTACTAATAAGACAAAAGTCCACCTTTCCACTTTAAAATGATTACTTAGACATGTACAGATAAAGATGGCAAGACTCCAAAACATCCCTTAGAATTTCTCTATTTAGGCACCTAAGTGGCATCTTCTTTGTACATTAATCAACTTAAAACCCTCCAGTGGTTTCCCATGGCAGCAAAAACAAACTTTGAACTAGTGCTGTTGGTTGGCTCAGGGTTCTGCCTAACTCTCTAATAGCTTCCCTGACCTTCTTGCTCCAGCCAGCGAGGGAGGGTCAAGACATAGTGACCCTCTTCTTTGCACGATCCTGTTGTTCTCACCCTCCTATTGGACCACTGATCCTATAATTTTCTCTACTGAGTAGGTCCATTCCCCATGTCCATCAGGCTACCTCTTTCTCAGTATTGGTCTCACCAAACTTTTACTTCTTCAGAGCAAAAATATAGTAGCAACCACCAACTCTGGCACCAATTGTTCACTCTTCCCTTGTCTGACTTACTATCTTTTCATTGTTATCATTACTATTTGAATTAGCCATTGTTATAAATAAAATTCTTGATGTAAATGTTGTTTTGTTAATTTAGTTTAATTTTTAAAAAATATTTATTTATTTATGCATACAGAACTGGGTTACAGGCCAGAGGTGCAGGGGTAGTGAAAGGATTCATCAGAAGCAGAGTGGGGATCAGAACAGGCATATTGACAAAGTACACTGCTGAGGGGAGTAGGAGTGGGTCAGGAGAGGCCTGCCATGACATGTGGATCATGTCTGGGGCCAGGGATCAAACTGGCACTGAAGCAGCTGTGACCAGCTTGCAGTGCTGCACTTTAACCCATCGTACCACCAGGGAGGGCCTGTAAGTATATGTTTTATACTGAATTTTGAATCTCTCCAAAATCCATATGTTTAAGTACTAACCCCCAGTGTGTTTGTATTTGGAGATAGAGCATCTAAGGGAGAAATCTCGGAGGTCAAATTGTGGAGTCATGATCGGATAGGACTAATGTTCCTATAGAAAAGGAGGGACTCCATTGCTCTCTCAGCCCCTCCTGCATTCACACACGAAGTAAAAGCCATGTGAGTATGTGGGGAAGAGGCAGCCATCTGCAGGCCCAGGGGAGAAACTTCATCAGAAAATAAACTGTCCAGATCTTGATCTTGGACTTTTAGCCTCCAGGATTATATATATACACATGTTTTTGTTGCTTAAAGTCAACTGATCACTGGTATTTTGTCATGACAGCTGACTGAGCTGGCTTATATAATGAACTAGTAGACTATTTCTCTTTCTATTATACTAGCTTCAAAAACGGGGGAGGCACAAATGCTTTGCTGCTTAGCAGGGTAGCTGGGAGATGGCAGATACTTCATAACTATAGGTTGAATGCGTGGATTAATAACTGAATGAAAACTGAGTATTGATCAGCAACTTAGGACACGACTACAGGACCATCAGACAGTTAATGTTAAGATAGTAGAATACAGAAGGTGGGTGCTGAGTCTGCAGAGCTGAGAAGTGGGAGCTCAGAGAAGGTAAACCAACACTGCATTATCTTCACATGCTCAGAGGAAGCGGAAATGCCTGTTTTCTGAGAAAGAAAGGATTATCAGGAACTAGGAAATCAGTCCTTTCCTATAAAAACCAAGGTTTGTATTTAAAAATTCCCCATATGTCTTATCCTTTACAGATCTATTTCATGAGACATTGAACAGGAAGACTTATTTGGGGCTGGTGAGACCATCCCATGAACAGTTCACTTCCACCATGAAGTGGTTAACTCTGTCAGAAACCCACGATCAACTCTTATACCAACAGAGGGTATCCACATCACACTTTAGAATGGCTGGTTTATCTTGTAAAATGCACCAATTGGAGTATTAAAAATGAAAGCAATAAGGATTGGATTGACAGGCAGAGTTTACAGGGGATTCTATGGGGAAAAGAGAGCAGAAATACAAAGAATCCAACAAGTAAACTGAGACTAACAAAGAGAACCCCTGGGGGAAATTTTAATGCATTTTTGTTCTATCTGCTCTAATCCTATCCATCAAACAAGAATGATATTTCACACTTTCCAGCAAGTTCCAATACTGCCACTCATGTCAGAGAGTCATTTAGAACAGAAAATTTACTGGGAAGAGTGGACTCAGCACAGCATCTTGATCCCCTAATTCAGGTATTCTGAAATAAGCTCTTCCCAAGTCCAAACATAAACCGGATGAATTTACAGGAAACCCTTGCTTAAACCGTGACGAGAGCTGCTATTGCATCTGAGGCTTAGATGTACCATATCTAAAAAAACACACAGGGCCAGACTACAGAGAAAACTGCAGCTAGAGTTCCCCCACCTTTTTGCTTTTTCTGACTCCCAGCCATGTGTTTGTCATAGTTTTAAGACACTTTCACAAGGCCGTCTTGTTGCAAAAGGATAAAAAGAAATATATTGAGAAACAAAAAAGAGAAAATTGACAGAATATTTTAGCCCTGGTAACAAAGCTAAGGTAACTCTAAACATATGTCTTTATGCTCTTGCATCTGGTAATGTATGCATTATGCCCTGCAAATGCTATTATAGCATAAATACCTCCAACAAAATGTTTTCCTGGGTATAGTTTACTATTAAGGTATGTTTCTTTGCCAAGATTCATATGGTATTATGTGTGTGACAAGTAGTGCATTTATGCTTTGCTTAGCAGTTCAAAACTAGAAGTGGGTTGTTTCCCAGGGAATATATGATAGATCTAGAGACATTTGGTTGTCACACTTGGTGGGACATATGATAATAAGTGTTTAGGGTAATGCTCAACTAGGACAGTGTTCACACTGGACCTCTTCTGGGCCTAAAGGTCGATAATGAGGAAGTTGAGAAACAAAACCTTAGGAATATGAATGAGTTACTTCTGAAAAGATTTCACATGAACAAAACACCAAA